AAAATAATGATCACATAATACTTTTTTTACACTAGGAAAAAAATGAAAATTATATTTGCATTGATATTCCAAAAGCTATTACTATTGTAAGTATAAAGGATTTTCTTTAAGTGTGAATTGTGTAAAAATATTCTTATGTGTTTATGATATTTGATAACACTGTGTTTATTTATTAATATCTTGCATTAGTAAGTAGGAACTAATGCTCAAAATTTATAGATGGAGTAATCTCTTTGGGGTCATTTCAGTCTTTAGAACCCAGACATGTGAAAGCTATCTGCCTACAGATATGACTATATTGAAAAATGTATTTAACATGACTCTGATGATAAGATAATTACATTTATGTCACATAATTAATCCAAGATTTTGTCTCAGAGATTTTAGGTAAAACTAACCTTTTCTCTCTCTCTCTCTCCATCTCTCTGTAGTTTCTACCCTTTTGGCAGCAATGTACAATCTAGTTCTATTGAACAAAAGGAGGGGAAATTCCCCATCTGGCCAGAGTGGAGTGAAACTGATGTAAATGCAGAAAAGTGGGATGCAGGCAAAGGTGGAAAAGAAAAGGACAAAACAGGAAAAAGCCCTATATTTGTAAGTAGACTTGGACGTGACTAGATTTCATTTTGGTTTTTAATCTTACAATGGAATAAGATTTGTTAACATGAGAACGTATCCATTTTTCTCCACAATCTCCATTCAAAGGAGAAATTTTGTCTTTGTCTACCTGCCTTCTCCGCCAGCCAATGCTTTGTCTTTCCCAGCCTTAGTCCTGAGTTTTGGTGAATCACATATGAGTAAGTGGGAGGAAAGAGATGTGACCACAGAGTCATAGTGAAACAAGGGGGAGATTAGGAGATAGAACAGGTTTGCCAATGGATTTTGGACAAAGCTGGGAAGCAGGCATTTAGAAGGTGGTTTAGAGAATGAGAGTCCACAGCAGACCTGTGATCTGTTGCCTAGAGGTTCTAAGAAAGGGGACTTTTAAAAGAGATGTTACTGTGAAGTAAAACCCGAATTCCTCTTAATATCTTTCCAAGCTGTGTGGATAAAGATCTGAGTTGCTCTTTGTTTACTTTTTGTCCTGTAAACATGATATGTCCCCGAGATTGGAGCTATGTGAAGTTCCTACATTTTCCAATTATTTTTAGTTCTTTTGCCTGTTTTAAAATGTTTACTCTGGACGCATTGACTCACACCTATAATCCTAGCACTTTGGAGGCTGAGGTGGGAGGATCACTTGAGGCCAGGAGTTCCAGGCCAGCCTGAGCAATATAGTGAGACCCCTGTCTCTACAAAAAATTTAAAAATTAGCTGGATGTGCTGGTGTG